AGGGTTTAAGGGTTTAAGGTTTAGGGTTTAAGTTTTAGGGTTTGAGGCTTTAGGGTTTGAGGCTTTAGGGTTTAAGGTTTAGGGTTTAAGGTTTAGGGTTTAGGGTTTAAGGTTTAGGGTTTGAGGCTTTAGGGTTTGAGGCTTTAGGTTTAAGGTTTAGGGTTTAAGTTTTGGGGTTTCAGGTCTAGGATTTAAGCTTATAGGGTTTAGGGCTTAAGGTTTAAATTTTGGGGTTTCGGGGTTTGTCTTGAAGTGGAGGGGGGTGGGTAGCAAGATTGCACAGTGTTTCGCGGTCCTCCGAAATTCGGGATGGCTGTCGGAGGGTAACTAGAACAGGATTTTGGGCTGAGGGCTTTGGGTTTCGACTCACTTACAACATCGAATTCTGTTTTGGTTCCAGGATGTAGAAACCCAAACCTCAAGGTCAGGGTTTAGCGCTGAGAGCTCAGCATGAATGTTGGTCTTGATTGAGGCTGTCAGGACACAGTTCAATCTTTGGGGCACGGGGTGTGGGGTCTAAACCCTAAACCCTAAACCCTAAACCCTAAACCGGGGTCAGTGGGTCTCTGCAGCGCTTCGAGGTTCAGAGATTCGGATTTAAAGTCTCGGGTTTGTGTTCATTTTGTGGGTTTCGGGGCTTGGCTCCGATGGTTAGGGTTTAGGGTTTGGGATTCTCCTAGGTTTAGGGTTTAGGGCTTTAGGGCTTTAGGGCTTTAAGGGTTTAGGGGTTTAGAGTTTTTAGGATTCTCCTAGGTTTAGGGTTTAGGGGTTTAGGGGTTTAGGGCTTTAGGGCTTTAGGGGTTTAGGGGTTTAGGGCTTTAGGGCTTTAGGGGTTTAGGGGTGTAGGGCTTTAGGGTTTAGGATTCTCCTAGGTTTAGGGTTTAGGGTTTTTTGGGTCTTGGTTGTGGGTGATGGTAACTATGGGGTTCGGATCTCGGACCTGGGCTGGCGGGCGCCGTGGTTTTAGAGTCTTGGGGCAAGGTCCGTCGGGCTTGGAGTTTATGGTATAGGGCTTCAGCCTTTAAGCCCTAAACGCTGAACCCTGACACCCTAAGCTTCGATACTAAGCCCCCTACATGCGCCCGGAACACTCAACTTTCGACTTCTTAGCGATGTAAAGCTGCAGAAGCCACCCAAGAACTTAAACAACTTGTACAGCTGCGACGGTTTCACCCCAGAGGCTTTCCGATCTGGGGCTTAGCCACCCTCTACCCTCCGACTCGCCCAGCCTCTTAGATAAAAGGGCCCGAAGAGGTTTAGGGTTTAGGGTTTCGGGTTAGTAATAATGCCTGGAGCTTCGCTTTTGTTTGCTAGGTTCTTCAGGCTCCTGCATCCGTCTGATGCCCTAGGCTCCCAACTGTCGCTTTACCAAGGACCCTAAAACATGACTGCAGCCTTTATGATGGGGTGCAGGGCTTTCTTTTATGGGTTTACGCGCTGTCGCCTTGATGATGGTGTAGTGGTCATAGACCATAGCCACCTCGTTGACAAGCAGGTCGAATTGGGCCGAACTCTCACGTTATCTTTAATGCTGTTGTTGGTAACAAAAGACGCCGCAATAGCATCAACGACCCATCACCAAGAGCTGATGAATATGATACGCTATGTCGGTCATGATGACCACGATGGTGACGATGATGGTGATGATGGATGATGATGCTGGTGATGGTGATCGAGATGCTGCGTTGGAGGTAGTCTGCCGTGAACTGACTCCTCAAGTATGAAACCGTATCTTAGGGTTGTAGAAGTTTAGGGTGTGGAGTCGCGCTCAGATTTTCTTGCATGGAGGTGGATGGCTTGCCCAACGGTCCCCACAAACCTGAAAAACCCGCTTCCTGACCAAGCAATTGAAGCAGCCCCCAGGCGCCTGAACCCCAAAGCCCAAACCCTGTAAATTAAAATCTAAGCACCAAGAGATTCAGCGTGATGATCAGCATGGAGACGAAGAAAGCACTGTACCATACCTGGCGAAGTCCCTTTTTCGAAAGGGGTGCTGCTCTTGAAACTGAAATTTCAGTTTTCAGGTGTGTAAAGCAGTTAGAGCGGGGCTTCGAGTATATGCTGGGAGCTGTATATCTACGATGCAGACTTGGTGATGCTCCTCCGGCAGGTGGGGACTCTGGAAGTTGGTGTTCAGGCGCCTTTCTTCTAGTATTGGAAAGTGAGTGAAGAGGGGTCTGAAACCATGCTATCTACTTGTTATTAAGGCGTTTCCTGGTTTGCCGCTTTTCGCTTCTAGGGTTGTAGGATGGTGACCCAGAAACTGGAAATGCAGAACTGGAGCATGATTTCTGAAGAACCAGCCAGCCCGGGGCACCGCAGTCCCGAACTGCGAGTAGAAGAACATCTCCGACAAGTTCACATTGCCCAGCAGCGCACGCAGCGTGCTGTTTAAAGCCTGGCGAGGGATGAAGCTGAGGCTTCGGGTTGAATCTTTGGGTGTACGGCACAGATCTTAGTTAGATCTTGCGGTTAGGGCAACCCTAACTCCTACACCCTGAACCCGAAACCCTGAACCCTAAACCCTGAACCCCAAACCCGAATCCCTAAACCCTGAACCCTAAGCCCTAAACCCTGAACGCTGAACCCTGAACCCTAAACCCTAAACCCGAATCCCTAAACCCTAAACCCCCAGAAGATGCCCACTTCAGGACCAAAGGTCGAACATGCACTCCAGGCCTTGCCAGGCGTAGACCTCAGAAGCCGCGATCTATCTTTCTCTGTTTTAAGGGGCCTGGAGAGCAGTTTAGGGATTAGGGTTTCGGGCTGTGGGTTGTGGGGGGCAGTCGAGGGTTTTAAGGGGTTCGTTGGCGTGCTGACATGGCATAAGAATCAGAGTACGGGTGATACCAGTCTCGAACAAAAATGTGAGCATAAAACAGTGAGTCTGCACATGAACTAGGGTAAGCAAGCTAGCTTTAGAACACTTCGAGTACGAAGGTAGCGTCGTCAGAGCAGACGCTAAACCCTTAAACCCATAAACCCTACACCCTAAGCCCTAAGCCCAGCATGCATCGGCACCCCAAGCACTGATCCCTGAACCCTGCAGCCCGTGGCACTCTGAAGCTCAAAAACTGCACCCTGTACCGGTCAAGGGTTAAGGGTTTAGGGTTTTTGATCTAGGGTTTAGGGTTCAGGGTTTAGGCTTTAGCGTTTTACGGTTGAGGGCTTAATGGTACATGCCAACTTCTGAACCTTAACGAGACCCTAACTGCCAAACTCGAGACCTCCCACGGACTCTGGTCCCTCAGCCCCGACCCCTCTCATCCGCAATCCGAGTTAGGCTTCAGGGTTCGGGTTAAGGAGTTCGGAGTTAGGGGTATATATATATATATATACATAAATATAGGGTTTTAAGGTTCAGGGGGTTTAAGTGTTAACGACCCTGAATTCCGAGTGTGAGGCCACTCTTCCATGACCATTCCCCAGATCATGAAGCCGCCGATGGCCTCGACTGGTCCGGGCCAGTGCCCTACGGGGCTGTCAGGGTTTAGGAGACCAGGTCTTAGACTTTATGCTTCAGGGCTTAGTGAACTATATGGGGACATGGGTTTAGGGTTTAGGGCTTAGGGATTTAGGGTGTAGGGGTTGAAGGTTTAGGGTTTAGTGAACTATGTTTTGGGTTCAGGATTTCCGGGTTGGCTGCTATTCAACACCTGAGCTTTGAGGTTCAGGGACGCCTGGCCAGATCCACAAAGCTAAAACATGTCGAGATGTTGTGAACTCTGGCCCCAACCCTAAACCCTCAACCCGAAACCTGTCGAGGCATTGTAAACTCTAGCCCAAACCCTAAACCCTAAAAACTCTAAACCCTAAACCCTCAACCCTAAACATGTCGAGGCATTGTAAACTACTCTAGCCTATAGCCCAAACCCTAAACCCTAAAAGCTCTAAACCCTAAACCCTCAACCCAAAACATGTCGAGACATTGTAAACTCTAGCCCAAACCCTAAACCCTAAAAGCTCTAAGCCCTAAACCTTTCTGTAAAGATGCCGACTCCAACCCTCAACAACCTTGGCCCCACGAGAAGCCCGGAATCCGCACCCAGGCGTCCAAGCCACACCTCAACCTCAAAACCCAAAGCTCGAAAAAGCCGAGGTTTGGGGCTTTAGGGTTTAGGGGGTTTAGTGCTACTTTTCGCCCAAAACCCGGTAACTGCCAAGCACTGGAACTGAGGAGGCTGCGAAACTGAGGAAGAGCACGAAGAAAAGCAAGGAGAAGTGTAGCAAGTCCTGTCACAGGAGCCTAGCACGGCAGGCTAAGGGTTTAGGCTTTAAGGTGTTTAGCAGCTTAGCATTAAGTATAGACTCCAAAACCCTGAATACTTAGATATGGGTTTTGACATCTATTGAGACTGTGTATTTGAGGTCTGTACAAGCAGTACACGGACTACAAGGGGATGTCGCGATTGTTCAGACCGCTACAACAAACGTAAAACTATATCATATCAAAACTTGATAAACGACAAATCTTGTGAAACCCGACAAGGTGTTCTTCCACTCAATCGCCTGACACAACGAGGCTTCCTCACGCCGGGGTCAAAGAATCAAAGAGGCTTTGCGGGTTTAGGGCAGGGGCGATATGGAAGAGAACAAGCCCATACTTCAAAACAAACTGCCTGCACTCCTTTGCACCCCAATCTAAAACTACTTAGAGACCCCTATTTGAGCTTGTTTGGATGGCTGGTGAGGCAGGCATGGGTTGAGGGAGTGTTGGCTGTGGACTGCGGAGAAGTCCTCTCAGAAGCCCTTGGTCCGAGCCCCTTGGCCAAGAAAACCCGCATCCTAAACCCTTTTCGAACCCATACCAAAAAGGGACCCTCAAAAACCCTACACCCTCAGGCCCCACGGCTTGTGGCCTGGGTTGAAGGTGCCATTTTTCCCGGGTTTGCCGATCTGCCTGTAGCCCGCAAATATCTGCATGTTTCGGCTTATCACTTTAAGGATATCACTATGTGTTCCTTTGTTTTGTTTTGGGCCGTTTTTAGGGTGACTGCCACTGCAGCATGATGTACCCTAAATCCCTGGGCCAGGAAAATCCAACTTCGGGTTCTCCTCGGAGGCGTGCGTGAAGGCCGACATAAGCCTTGGCTCTTCAGGACTATGCAACTGTGCTGCCCATGCTTGAGGTTCAGGATTTGGGGCCTGGGGGTCGGGTCAGGGCTTTTAAGGTTGCGGGGCTTATAAGGGGTAGGCACTCTGGGGACCTCTTTGTGTCCAGCACTAATGGCCAAATAGCAGAAGGAGATTGCAAGGCTTGGGAACAAGGACGTCGGGGTCCAACGATTAGGTGGTCGTTGGCCCTTCTGCTCCGTGAAACACCGAAAAGCCATGCCCTAAAAACAGCAACCCGCAACCGCGACGGTTGCATCCCGAAATGCCACACCGTACACCCCAAGCCCGCCTGCACGCTTACTTGAGGAATGCTTTTACGGTATATAGGTCGGTTTGAGGAGTATATCTCGTTGAATGCCGAAAATGATATTGGAGGTCCCTTTGTCATGGGTAGGGTACATAATGATAGTTGTATTGATGATAAAAGTAATCAAACTGCAATAACAAAAAGGGTAGTGAGAATAGTGATAACAAAAAACAAGGACTATCATCCACGTTTAAAGTAAGTATAATGGTCATTGTCATACCACCAGCGCCATCGCATGCATCATCACTGTTGCTGTCATGCTCCATACTGTTAGTAGGGCCGAGGGTCGATCTCAACAGCTGCGTGTCAGCGCGTCCCAAATTCTCTAATTCATGACGGCCGAAGAACAATGTTGATGCTGTTGCAATTCTATAAGTATTATTCCCCAGGACTTTGAATATACAAATATGTATATATATATATATACACATAATGTAGCGGCTTTAATGATTAGAATAGGGTTTTGGGGCCCATTATTATAATAAAGAACCACCAAAATATGTACATCAACACCGTATATACTCTATTTCTCAAAGACCCTACAATCTTCGAATCGCAGGGATGCTGGGCTCTGTGGGTCGGTATGAACAGCCGAAGCACTGCGCCAGCTTGGGCTGACCAGCGAAGATCTGCACAGCCCGCGTCGTGGGGGGTCGGGATTTCGAGTTTAGCGTTCAGGGAGTGTATGGCTTGTAGGGTTTAGGGGTTGACGGCTCAGGGCCTAATATCGGATGGGGCCGAGGATCTTGCGGTTTGTGCCGTAGGGTACAGTCTGGGCTTGACCTTAGCAGTGTTTGTTTCCTTTTTGCTCAAAACATCCAACTTGCTCCAACTTATTTTTCTGACCGCGCTGTCCCCCAACCTAAACCGCAGCGGACTACGCAGTATCGTTGCGCTGACCCTCAACCCCAAAGGTGTGGTGCACGGCCGCGTCCACCCGGAGATTCCTAACATGGGCGCCCAAAAGACTCTTCACGAAGCTTCCGGCCGTGTGCTCTTCCACACCAAGCTGTTGAGGTGGAGTGTGCCACCACAGCCCACGAGTCGGACCATATGGGTGCACTGCATGATGTTGCTTTTCAGAAGGGCCTGTCGGATCAGAACCAGCACGGTGTTCACCCGGATGTCGCGGTTCTTGTCAAAGGTGCCTGTGCACACTTCCCGTCCTGAGATCATGGTGCCTCGAATGTGGAGCACTCCCAGCCGAAGCCGAGCATGCAAGGTAAGGATGATAGTCGTCACAGGTGCCGGTCTGACGACATAGTGCACGTGCAAGCCACCCTTGAAGCCTTCAAACAGCATGGACCCCAGATCGTGATTCCTGACTATGTAACATTGATACCCTGGTAAGAGAAATATTCTTGGCCTACATGAAGTCGGTAGCCGGCGACCAGGGGTAGGATGTGGAAATGATCGTTGCTCGGCCTCGGGGCATCGGGCTATTTTTTGGCTTCGTCTCTAAATCGAACCATGCTTGTGTCCTGAATCCTGCAAGGATAAACTGCCGGCGAATGCCTTGTGGCTGTGCTCCGGAAGCCCGCCAACACTTGGGGAAACGTTGTTCGGAGGCTCGGAGGTTGTCACGGTCCTCCAGCATCAATCCGTCAGCGCTAGGTGAATGCTGCCAGCACATGAGGGAAACCAGAAACATCATGGCCGTGCTCGTGAGTTAGCAGACAAAAATGATTATCTTTGGGCGCAAGTCTAGGTAACTGCACTCACACTTTAGCACTATCTACTACTTGGCTGCTACTGGTAACAACCAAGACTCAACCACAAACCCTCCTGAATTCCGGACCCGGTGGGGGGAACGTCCGGAAGAGTTTATGAATCAAGAGTGTAGCACTAACATTAAGCCAAAAGTGCAATATTTGACCCATCCTTCAAACTGAAACGTTTCCTCAAGTCAAAGGAGCACTGTAAAGCTAGGCGGAATTCCGTTTTGATTTCGCAACATCGCAGCCCTTCGGCGACGCTTCTTCGTGTGAAGGTGTTGTGCCTGTGGACGTCGGTCATGATGAGGCACATGCCGCCGCGTCCCAGAGTAACCGCCTTGGTGCTGCGCTGGTCCCTGCACCCAACGCCACTGCAGGACGTGAGCTCCTTCATGACTGTTTTGAGGACGTAGCATCTTCTCTCCCTTCGCGCCACTCTGGGGCACCGTGCCCGGTAACGTGGGCGACTAATCGCAAGTGCCAACCAAGGGCTCTTTGGGAACATGAACTGATCCCGTTTCAAAACTCCGCCACACTGGGAGGTCCCAATGGCTAGAGCCGCCGGAATGACGTGAGATATCGTGCATTGCTTGCACAGAACCCCGTGTAAAAACCACGAACGGGTTTCCTTGCAATTGCACTTTTCAGCGTTCGCCGTAAGATTTTTGACTGCGGCCACAGCTACGGACCTGGAAGAAAGGCACAATGTGGCTTGTTGACAGCAACCGAAATCTCCGGCTAGTGGCCTGTTTACTGGCATCTGCCTCGAGGAACCAGACGGCTGTTGAACAGTTGCCTGTGCGCAAATCTTCGAGAAGCCCCTCGGCTCTAGGGTACCGCTTGCGGTGGACCTCATAATCGAGGATTTCGTTGCCCTTCAACAATCTCCACGTATGATTGGCCGCATGGAATTTGTAGCCATAGACTAATAGACTACACAGGTTGCCTCCTCGGGAAATCCGCAGCGTGACAAACAACACGTGCAGCCCGCGTGTGCACCATGGTTGCCCGTGCGGCGTATGATAACTGAGAAAAAAGCATGGGTCTCTGGTTGACGGCCTGTGTCAAGGTCCGAATCGTCCTGGCCAACATGGTTTGATTTGACTCAACAAGTGTGTCTTGCAAGATTTATCATTCCTGCCGCTAAAACTGAACCGACAGGCCTTACACTTGACCCAGGGCATCGCTGCAGAACGAAAACGGCACAGATTATTGGATCCCAAAACAAATTTAAACAAAATCATCGATTTCAGTATGTCATTGCTGCCGTGGCAGGCTGAAGCCCTTCTGGAGGCTGAAAAGCCTGCTGAGGTCCTTTGGGTGTTGTGGATCCCACGGGCCAGATGCTTGCAGAACAAATGTAATTAAGTACAAAGGCAGGATTTCCAGGACTACAACACTAAAACTGAAGAGCTGGCCAAGTACAAGTGGCGGTGACAACCAGTGAGTAACGACCATGGAGCGTTGGACCATCAATGAGTGACAAGCTCTTGGAAAGAGATCGGATACTCCTACAGACACTGATGTGCGGAGCAGAAATCTCCAGCAAATATGTCGAAGTTGCAGGGTGAGGGCATCATGCCACCATGATGTTATCCGTGTTGACTCAACGACAGCAGTTTCCTGGCCGATGGATAGGAACACAGCATGTGAATGTTTCAAAACCGGCAAAGTTCAGAGGAACCATGCTGCACCCAAAGGATTCTTTGGGGCCGACATATGCGCCCACAACCTAAACAGTGCAAGTACCCCATTTTCGACTTGATATTCCCATCTATCTCTGCTGCTCTACAAGGTTATTCCTGCCGTCTGCTGGGACTGTATACGGGAGTATTGCAAACTCCTGTTAACAACCCCCCCCCTTTGCTTACGGACCTTAGTAATTGTGTCAAAATCGCTTTGGTAGGTCTTCCACACCAATGGGCCTAGGTCGGGTGCAGTATTGTATACAAACGTAGGGGAAATCTTTAACTTATAGGGTTTTGTGGCGATCCATCTGCGGATCTGTATTAATGAGGGGTCCAGTATTTTCTGAAAATCCTAGATAAGGTCGTACACGATTCTCGTTCCTCTACCCACTAAACAACAACCACAATCCGACGGCCCAAACCTGGAACCGCAGCAAACCGTCCGGAAGCTGCAGTTGTTCGAGCGCGCTTCAGCTCTCAAATTCCCCCAAACTGTTGTGATGTCCTACCTGAAACCCCAGAGCCCTATAAAGTAGTAGGTCGTGACCCCCTATTAAAGGGCATAACACAAAAAACAATAGGTTTTCGGATCCCCAAATAATTCCTACCAGACGGATCTTCCTTGGTTCTTCTCATGGCGATGATGATGATGACGATGATGATGATGATTGGTGTTGTTGCCGGTTGATTTGTTACTCTGTTCTCGCTCTTGTTCTTCACCGTACGTTCTGCCAGCAAATCAAGGCCGCAAAGAAACGAAAACCTCCCAGCCACTCGCCCTGGTAGTGAAGTCGAAGCTCTACTCAAACCTCAGCCTGAAACCCTAAACCCGAAACCCCAAGAACCTTGAAACCGTAACACCCTCCGAAACACAAACTACTCCATGTCTGAAACACCAGGTAGCAGATGCTGAAAATTCCCGGGATCTCGAGCTAAGAACTAAGGCTTTCTGTAGGGTCTTTGGTCTGGGTTTAGATCTACACAGTAAGGCCGAGAGGATAGAGAAGCCTCTGACTCTAGGGCTCTGTCCCTGGTGCATATACTTGGCTTCATTAACGGCAGCTTCCCGCAGGTGGATCAATTTCTCCCGATGGTCCAACTGACGGCGGGCTTCTCGTCTGAGCTAACGAAGGCAGGCGCCAAAACCTTGCCAAAGATCTCGCCCGGGCTTGGGCTGAACGATGACACTCACCCTGGATGTTGTATGAACGGAGCATCTTCGTCAAGGTCTCTGCCTGCACCAGCGGCGACAAATCGCCTCTGTGCCGCGAGTTGAAGAAAATCTATCCAGGCTTTAGTGCTCCAGGCCTTTGACAGCTGCAGGCTCCATGTTTTTAAGGGTACACTGATGTACACTGAGGGTTCTGTCTGGGTTGCTATAAGTTAAGGTTTTAGGGATTCAGGGCTTTAAGGGCTAAGGCTTTGGGAAGGGTTTGGGTGTGCTCGGGCTCACCCCTACACTTCAACCCAACTGAATGCTATGCGTCGAGTTCATATTATGTTGCACACCATTAAGGGACTTTGGATGCTTAATGTCACAGCTATGAGCTACGAGAGAACAATGATCGTCGCCCCTAAACCCTAAACCCGTATCCTATGAAGCAGGACCAAGTAAGAGCCAGGGCCAAGCACCGATGCACATTTAGTTTGTTGTACCCTTTACACCCACTTAATCCCGAATCCCCGAAACCGCCTAAACCCAAAACCCCACTGCCCGAAACTAAACTCAAGCTAAACCCCGAAAAGATAGAACCCGTGCGAGATCCCTTACATGAGCCCTTGAAGGGACCCCGGAAGACCAAACAGCTGCGATATAAGGGTCTGAATCATTAGAATAGGGTCTTGGGGCCCTTTACACTATAGTCATAATAAGGAACCACCAAAATAGTATTGGGAATTATTTTGGCCCCTACATTAGGGACTCTCGTCAGGTCCTTTGGCCTTCGCAAACTGCGTGGCGATCACCAGCGTGTACCAGAACCTTCGGCTTCTGGGGTTTAGGGTTTAGGGGTTTTGGGGTTTGGGGGTTTAGGGTTCAGGGTTTCGGGGTGAAGGGATTTAGGGTTTTAGGGTTTAGGGGTTTAGGGTTTTGGGGTTAAGGGAAATTTAGGGTGTTTTGGGGTTTAGGGGTTTAGGGTTCGGGGTTTCGGGGTTAAGGGATTTAGGGTTTTAGGGTTTAGAGGTTTAGGGTTCAGGGTTTAGGGGTTAAGGGATTTAGGGGTTCAAAGCTTTGAGTTCAGGGGATTAGGGGTGTAGGGTTCAGGGTTTAGGGGTTTGGGGTTCAGTCGGACTTCCATTTGTCAATGAACGAAGCTGTACTTTAGGGTGTGCCAGCACCTTCGGTTTCTGTACTCAAAGGCACCAGGGACCGAGCAGTAGCGTACACTTAACACTAAATCCTGGAACCCCCGTCTAATACAACGGCACATGGCAACGGTACGAGGTCCCCTCATGTCAAGAACCCTAAACCCTAAACCCCCAAGGTACTTATTTCGGCCCTTATAGTACCCTAAACCCTAAACCCTAAACTCTAACATGAAATCTCTCTGCAGCATTAAGGTCCCGGCAAGGCCACACGAAAGTAGTCGAAGTAGAAAGCGGCCTTTTGAAGAAGGCGACGGCGATTTAGGGTTTAGGGTTCAGGGTTTGGGGTTTAGGGTTTATCACAGGAGAGTTGCTGACTGGAACAGGGTTTTGGGGCATTTTGGGGAATGCAGCAGAGTAGTTGTATGTGGACGATGAGGGCCAATAGTCGGATATCATTGCTTCTCCGTCTAATGTAGGGGCCTTAATAATTAGAATAGGGTTTCGGGGCCCATTATACTGTAATCATGATAAGGAACCCCCAAAATAGTATACGTCGGTATTCAAGCCTCTATAGTATATTTAGGGCGGGCTTGTCGGGCTCAGTCTTTCGGATAGATCCAGGCATGCGACAGCGGCAGTGATGGTTCGAACAGGACGACATTCACCACTATGATCACTACGATGACTGAGGCTGTAAGGCTGTAGCTATGGCCCTAGCGGGCTCTTCTGTTCATGGCTCTCCAGGACAGAAGGGGCAAGTCAACCCTTCTCTTTCCCACAGCCACAATCGATCTCAGGCCCTACACCCAAAAGCCGAAATCCAAGCCCGTCATGCCTGAACAGACGGCATAAGCAATTCAAGGAGGATTTCATGGCATGTTGCATAAGAGAAAATGGCGTGACCCTTTTAAGCCCCGATAGCATCGGCTGAGGTCACGTCCATGTCCACGCTGTCCAGGATAGATGTCCAGCTCTGCTGGTAGGTATCCATCTGGTGGAGTGTGCAAAAGTTGAGGGCGAGGGTTTATACTTGTCGAACAAAAGACCTAAATCGTCAGGGGATTCGGGTACTAAGTACCATAAACATGGGATGGAAGCGCCTAACCTATTACTGATTCTTGAGGACCAGATACTGCTACTATGGTTATTACGGTTTCAGATCGTCCTGACTCTTCGTATCCCCTTTATAAGCTCTAAACCCCAAATCCTAGACCGTCCTCCTGTTCTCCTTGTTCTCCCTAAGGTTCCCAGGCCCCCAACAAAAAGACATCGAGGGCCGGGTTCCCCTGCAGGAGCTTCTGTGGAGCCTTTCGGTAATACTCCTAGGGTTGAGGGTAAGGGTTTAGTTTAGGGTTTAGGGTTTAGGGTTTAGGGTTTAGGGTTTAGGGTTTAGGGTTGAGGGTAAAAGGTAATGTTTTTTGTCACTTTTACCTAAGCCTGAACCCTAATGCCCTACTTTTAGTGCTGCTGTTATTGTTCCAAGTGTTCATGGTCTCGCATATCGGGTCTCCGAAACACACAGGACCAAGGATTTGGGCTTAAGGAGCTAGGGCTCCTTACAGGGATCTATGAGGGCTCCTTAAAGGTCTTGTACAAGGGTACTACAGAGGTACTTGGAGGATCACGGGACCTTGTCGATAATGTTTGAAATACCTTAATTGGAGTCGTATGTATTTATACCGATAGATACTAAGCCGGGTTGGGGGCATAGACTAGCAAGAAGGGTTTAGGATTTAGGCTTAGGGCCCTGAACCCTAAAACCCGAAACCCTAAACCAGAAACTCTGAACCCTAAACCCTAAACGGTGTCAGATGTTGCGAGGCTTTGCATGCATGGCTGGGATGCTCACAAAGCATCGGGCGAATGAAGTTTGCTCGTGGTGCTGAAAAGACATTATGGGTAGTTCTCTAAATTAAGGTCCCTGTTACGGGCCCTTTTGATAAGGGTGCCGTACTATGTCTGGGACCTGAAAAGGACCCTAACTTAGAAAACTACGCATATCTTGAAGCCTCAATCAACCCCCTTGCAACCCAAGTCCACCTTTAAAACCTCCCTAACTCCTGCCGTCCGAACTCGCATCGCAAGAGTCAAGCCCTGCTGACCCTAAGCCCAGGCACCTGCTCGGAATTCGCCGAGGAAGAGTAGGTAGGCAGCTCTTGGACCATCGCCGAAAGGTCCCAGACGGACTGCAGGGCAGTAGAAGCCCCTAAATCCTAAACCCTAAGCCCTAAACCCTGACCCCTAAACCCCAAACCCTGGGGTCGGAAGCCCTGTAAACCCTAAACCCTCAACCGTGAACCCTGAACCCCGAAGCACTAACCCTAAACCCGAAGCCCTAAAACCCTAAGCCCATAAACCCTATATAAACTTTCCTAAATCCAAAAGCTGTGATGCCCCAAACCTTCAACTTCTCGAGGCTTTGGGGCAAGGATGCGGATTCAATCATCGAAGTATATGGCTGAATGCATCTGCTGCGCTTGACGAAAATACTTTGAGGGTTCCTGTAACGGGCTTGTCTTTCAAGGATTGCTTGAACAAGTCTGGAGGTTTTAGAGGGTTTAAATAGGGACCTTAATGATCAGAATAGGGTTTTGCGGTACTGTCAAGTATAGTGTACACCCTAGGAATAACATTACGCAACACTTCTTCCGGCCCCCCTATGAGGACCCTTATTCTGACAGTTATTTTACGCTTTTGCCTACGATGATGGCTGTCCATGTATCGGTGCTCTATCTACATCACCAACTGTTCGCCTTAGAACACCCGGATCCCCGGTCGAGGTGCTGCCCTTCTCGAACTTACCTTTGCAGTTGAGCGTTTCGGGTTTAGGGTAATTACGGCTTCTGCCTAAAACTCTCAAGTTGGCTGGAAGCGGCCAACGTACTAGATGCCGTGATCCTTCAAACCTCCCACCACAAGCTTGTGCCACGGACCCAGACATGAAAAGCCTCAACCCTGCACCGTGAACCCTAAACCCCAAGAGAAGCCCTGCCACCCAACAGATCTTTGGGGGTCGCCCGAAGCAAAGGGTACTGGTGACCGTGAAATATGATCAGGGTTACTTCTTGGGTTCCTTGTAGCAGTCCCTGGGCTTCGCTCTAAAACCTTTATAAGTAGTTTTCTAAATTAGGGCCCCTTTTTGGTCCCCAATACAGTACGGCACCCTTATAAAAAGGACCCTAAAAGCGACCTTCATTTTGAGAACTACCTTTATACAGAAGCCCTACAAGTCCGATCCCTGAACCGCAATGCTCTAGGCTTCAGCTTGCGCTTCTGGCTCAGAGCAGGTGCTTCACTGCTTTTCCAACCATAAGGGTCTTAGGGTCACAGTTCGCGCCTGCTGGACCACGATGAAGAAACCTGCGCAGTTGCGGGTGGAGTTCTACCGTAATGTAGGGGCCTTTCTGATTGAAATAGGGCTTTGGGGGTTAGTTGTTATAATTAAACTTTAGTTTTCCCTAAAACCCCATTCTAATGAAATATTAAGGCCCCTATACTATGCAGGCCAGGGTTCAGGACTTTCCAAACGCCAAAGTTTGCTCGACTGCAGAGCCCATCAGAGAAAAGCTCCCGCAGATCACGAAAGGGTTTAGCGGCTCCAATGTGGAATCGAAATGCGGGGGGTGTTCTGCGTAAGGAGTACTGCCAGATTTGGCAGTCTCCATCCCTATAGTTTTAAAGATGATGCAAACAAAAGATCCTGGCCCCAATGACTCCGACATACATGAGCTCTCCACTTCTCGGTTTTCGGACCCCCTAAACACCATGCTGCCTATAATGCGAACTCTAAACCCTAAGCCGCACCAGTGGAATGTCTTCAAGCTAAGTCAACGCTAACCACCGACTCCAAATCTCGCTAATTCAGCCACGTTCTTTACAATATAATACAGAAACTCGTGATATAACGAATTGAATGTTCCTTTGCCACGAGGTGCGGGAGTCTCCAGCTATCGTGGGGTTGAGTTCGGGTTGGAGGATGTAAAGATTTCGGGCTCGTTGTGTGCAGAAAACCTCGATGGATGCTCCGTAAGCTTTCTGGGCTTGGGGATTTATGAACCTGGCCTTTCCACCGCTCGCTGTCAGAAACTACATAACGGTTCAGGGGGTTTAGCAAACCTTGATGATCACAGGAGAAGTACCCTAATCGGGGCTATCCTACCTATATAGCCTGCCTATACCATACATACTCTGATCCTACAAATACCCACCCCCCAAGGCCCCCAGGTCCCGCTCGGCTCGGGTTTAGGTCTCAGAATTTAAGGTTCAAGACTGATATATAAAGGTTTAGGGTCTAGAGCCTCAAAGTTTCGGGTCTGGCCAACCCCGCAGAATTCACGCAGTTGCTGCGGCGCCTACGATGAAAAGGCTGTAGATGATAACCACCTGCCAGCATGCTCCAAGCAGAGCTACCGTGCTTCTTCAAACGCCAGGATACCGTCTTGAAGGGAATTGAGGGTTTAGGTTTTAGGGTTTAGGGCTTGAGAAAAGGATGTTGTGGCCCATAAACGAAGCTGCCAGCCGTTTTGGGCACTTCAAGCCTGGAGTGACCGAAAGGGACTCCTTCGTTCGCGCCACGCTTGCTTAGGTTTTGAGGTCTGGGGCCCATCACTAAACCCTACACCCTAAACCGGGGTTTGTCGCTTCCCGCATGGGGTTCGAAGCAGGAACTGTGGGGGGATAAATGCACAACAAGACACACTTGATACTTTAACCTGTTCGCCTGCCACCAATGTTGAATGCTGCGCTAAAGCCCGTCTAAATCCAGAACACGAAAAGAGTAAAGCTTTACAGCCTGAAGCCCTGAGGCCCAAACGCTAAAACCCCAAAGCCCCTTATAGACCCCTTGAAGGCACCCTTAAGGAAGCGAATGCTGGTGGGGAATCCTAAAGACAAGGATCGAAAATGTCAACGCCACGAATTTCTGATTCTACTTGTTATATGAGATAACAGCCGCTGTTTTTATTCCCAAACCCTAACCGCCCAAAAGAAGAGGACATCCCATCAGAAGAGCCACCCAGTCGGAGATGAACCGAAGGTCTGCCACCTCAGCAGGGTTTATGGTTTAGGGCTTAG